AGCCTGTAGATCCCCAACAGAGCTTTTTATTTTTCTATTTTCTTTTTCTTGTGTTTGGTCTGATTGTATAATTTCCTGCACTTTGTCTTCTAATCTTCTAAGTCAGATAGCCTTTCTTCTGCTTTACTGATTCTGTTAGGGCTTTCCACTGCATTTTTATTTACTCTACTGAAATTTTCATTTCTCGTATTTCATTGATTTCCCTTTAAGATCTAAATTTCATAGGAGAAATCTTTCACGTGATGTATAGATTTCATTTGCTTCTGATTCTAATAATCCTATCATCAATATTTTTGAATTCTATTTATGGCATTTCTTCAATCTCTTCATCATCACAGTCTAGTATTGAAATATTGTGTTATGTGGGAGCGTCACATTGTCTTCCTTATTTTTATTTCTTGAATTGGTGTGTTTATTATTTGGTGTTTGTAGAGATTGTCATTGGTTTCTTCTATGTTTTTTCACTGTAGAAGCTTTTGTCTTTGGAGTATGCTTCTATGGATTAGTGAAGTATCTAATTTTTCAGTGCATACTGAGAGGCATGTGGTAGGTGTGGCCAGAGAGCTGTTCAGCGCTCCAGGGTGAAGGGAGTGTCCAAGGTGACACCTCCACTGGGTGTGGTAAATCTTTTTTTTTTTCATTTTTAAATCAGAGGCCAGGTTTCTTCTGCTCTGTTGGCATAGTTGGCTCACCTCCTCTCCTCAACAAGACCAATGCCTGGGTGCTAGCCCCAGTGGGTATAATCTTCATCAGCATTGCCACAGAACCACACAAAGGATCTTTGAAGTTCTCAGTGTAAACACAGATTCTGTAGCAATGTCTTGCACCAGGGAATCAAGGAGCCCTGAGTGTGTGTAGTCTCCTACAATGACAGCCCGAAGTCCCAGCACACAAGCCTCCCAAAGTCATGAGCGCCCAGCTCCCTGCCAGTTCTCCCCACCAGACTCTGGTGTCTCCACTTGGTCACTGGGCATGGATACGAACTGGCACAGCTCTTACGTATGTCCAAAATGGTGCCCACTCTATCGGCTTGTTACAGGATGCCATTGCAGGGTGATTGGGGAGAGAGAAATGTGCCCCCTTCCATTTTTTCTCAATTAGTTTGGCAGGTAAACTATCCCCACAGAGCTCTAAGCCTGATTCTCTCCAGGCTCTTCCTGCAGCTTATCACTGGTGGCTTGGGCTCTTGCAGACTGATCTTACCTCACTTTCCAAAGCTGGTGCAGAGGCTCCTGGTTGCTGGGGTCCTGTATTGTGCATCTGTGTGCACACATTGTTGTGCACACATAGTTCTACATATCCCTCTAATTTTCATATAGTTTCCTCTGCCATTTTCTCCCTAACTCTTCCCTGAGACTGCACTCTACTTTTTAAACTATCTTCTGCTAGGCTGTAACAGTAAGCTCCATCCCTACTCCACCATCTTAATCCCTCAAGTTGTTCCTCAACATATGGGTTTTAAGGGGACATGATTCAGCTATGTCAGGTATTCATTCTTGGACTTGCCCCAGAACAGGCTGATAATGTCTACTGCTATGCACATGTAGTCCATCTTCAAGATGGCAGCTAAGAAAGGACTGGACTACCCATAACTCTTACATGCGTCTCTGGTCTCTGGTATCCAACAAAGAGTGTTCCTGAGAGAGAGAACAATGGTTTCTCCCCTGAGGCCACACAACCATTTATTTCTATAATTTTTATTGTCATTTAATGTATACTTATTTACTGAGTGCTTAAAGTCTACAGGTACAATGTTAGGGGTTTTGAATATGAAATAAAATGACTGTCCCTGCCTTCAAGGAGTCCAGGAAGGAAATAAAACATACATGATAGTGTAAGAGATGGATTTACACAATGCCATGAGGGAAGGAGAGAAGGAATTTCTCTCTGGTTCAAAATGTAAGGAAAGGAGCATTCTACTGAGTAATCAGAGATACATAGAAATTTGATAGGAAAATGGAGAGCCACACCCTCAAGGGGAGGGTTACTTCCTGAGGACACACAATGTGGCTGGGATATTGAAACATGAAGGGGAGGAGTGAGGGATGAAGTTGGAATATATGAGACTTTGAGAGTAGAGAAAGTATCATTTGTTAAGTTCCTGCTATGAGCAAACCACTGTAGTTTGCGTTTGTGTCATTATTTCATATGGTTGGTAGGATTTACCTCCACCTTACAGATTAGGATTAGGAGGTCAAAGAGGTGAACACTAATCATGGAGGACTCAGATCTCAGACTCTATGAAGTAAATACAATACTATAAACCAAGATGTATTCTCACTGAACAATTCTGAGCAAGGTCAAGACTGAAAAAGTTATTTTATAAAGTACCACCAGCCCAAGTCTGTTCTAAGCTCCAAGTTTTGTTCTCTTTCAATAAGAGCTGGTTCCATAAAGGGAACTGAAGACTTTCTAAGTGTGTACCCTCTTGGCATATTGGAAAATGATTCCTTTGTCTCTCGTTCTATTCTTAAATTTATTTCTCACAGTTTAAGAATACCAAGTTATTAAGTCAGATTTGTCAGCACACAGAATGATCTCCCCCATCACCTTCCTCTGCTAATAAACATCACAATGGTGTTGTCAGCAGCTTCACGAAAGGCATACATTTGGATGAATTTTTTTTGCTATAAATTAGTGAATCATCTACCAAATAACACATAATATTTTCAGGTCTCTACACACTGTTTTTTTCCTTCAATGCATTGGATAGAGCCAAGGTCCAGCATCTTGTGATGCTTTCACATGCAAACACAGTAATTTCTACACCAGTGTGATCCAGTTTTTCCATATTTCACTTCCCAATGGTTTGGGCAAACATCAAAATCACATATATGCTTCAAAAACTTTTAATTGGGATGCAGCATCAGCATCCCCTTTCCCCCCAAAATGCATGTTGAGGCCCTAGTTGCCAGAGCTGTAGTATGTTTCAAAGGAACATTCCAGTGAGTGTGCAAGACCTTGTTGGGAAGCTATATGAGACTGCTGAGTGTGTTCATTCCCTACCATAGCCTCACCTCCCATCAGCCAAGTTTGAGGCACTTGACTCAAATATATTCTGGAGAATTCAAAAAGTCAGAGAGATAACACTTTTTGCAGATCCTTCTGTAAGTGTTGTGAAAATTTAATGGAGCCGTAATTCCATGACATGTCCAGTGTAAATTTTCTTAATTTTGTATTCCCAGCAAGTGTATGAGTGACAACTTGGGATTTCCAGAACATGCTGATAATTATTTAAAATATCACTGAATTTTCTCTTAGTAGTCTCTGAATTTATGTAAATGGAATTATAGTTTAGGTGGTTGATGTTGTGGGATTTGTTTTGCTAAAATGTTATGTGAAACATATACTCAGTTAAAGAAGTATTATGTACGGAAGATGAAGGAAAGGAGCAAGCAATCTTTACAATGAAACTAGATAGGGACAGTGGTTAGGAGCCTTTCAGATATTTTGTTTAACCATTGTTTATTTATCTGTAAAAGGAAAATAATAGCAATAACTCTTTGATAGTGGTATGGGGGTTAAAGAGATTAAATAACTTCCTACCATCCTCCAGCTTTTAACTCTCAATGCTGGAATTCACAGATGGTTTAAAGTGTGAGTGTAATCTAACAAAAAGCTAGAACTGCGTCTTTAAACTCTTCTGTTTCTGAAACCTGATCCATCTCTGCATTTCTCAATAACTGAATCGAAAGCTTTCCCTTTTTATTAAATGATTGAGGGTTTTGACACTCAGTTTAATAAAAGCTGATTTCATTCGATTAACTCCGACCTGTTAAACATGAGAAAATCCAAATAATCACATTTTGAGATACTGAGACAAACAACAGTAAATAATATTCTCAGATTCCAGAGAAACTAGAATGCCATTTTAAAATCACTTCTGTACTCAATGTTAATGTGATACTATAGCCATTAAAGATGAGAAAAGATGGAACATCTTCACATTGGGCTGGCAGGTAGTAACTCTCCAAATGGCTAACAGCAGTGGCTAGGTTCCCTGTATTCTAGTGCTAGCCTCTTCCCCCTAATGTCCGCATGGCCTGATCATTTCATATCTGTGGCTTCAACTTTAAACTGCAGATAACAGAAGCTGCCCTCCCTATTGACAATGCTGCTAAAATAATAAAAAGATAAATCAAGTACTGTACAAAGTTAAAAGGGTAAAGTTCTTATTCACTGAATTCGAGATTGAGAAATTAAGAAATTCCATATATCAGCATTTCAGAAGCATATATTTTCTGCTTTTTAGGGTGCCATTTCATGTGTGCTACACAGTAACCATACTGCTAATTTTGGATGGCATGTGCCTTCTTTTTATAGATAATTTAAACTCTTCCTATGAGTTATGACAAGTTAAGGCGTTGCCCTGAATTCACAGACATCATGGAATATTGGAACAGATTTGATACAAAAGTAAATAATTCCACCAATACATAATGGTTTCTGCTTCTGGAGCTGTATTACCTATAGAGTGGTAGCTGGCAATCATCAGGTGTTATCTATGTTCCAGGTACTTTGCATATATTATCACATTTAAATTTCATCCAATGAAGTAGAAATTATAAATTCCATTATGCAGATGAGGAAACTGAAATTTTAGAGTGCTCAAGTAAATTGTCCCAAAGTAAGACATTCAGGAAACTGCAGGGGTGGGCTCATTGCCTGGGTAATGTTATGTTACTGAAGGTCTCCAATGCTTGCCTCCCAGGACTCATAAAAGACTGGCATGGTTCTGTGGGCAAGGGAGTGAGCACCATGCTGGTTCCAGCACCAGGACTTTGTGAATCACTGACCTCCTCACCTATAAATGAGGACAGTAGCCCAAAGAATTTCTACAAAACATTGCTGAGAATGCATCTCCTATGGTTTCCTAGAATGAGTTAGGTCATAGAGGAGATGATGTTTGGCTAAATAGCTCCTTTCCCTACTCCTCCTGTTGACTGACCTCCAGGTCTTCCCATCAGCCAAGGGTCTCAAGGCTCTGCTTTGACACTTACCAATATAAGCTGCTCCATCTGTCACCATGTATTTGTTGCGATTTAATTTAGGAAAGGTGTGATTCTTTTGTTCCTTTGCAGCACAAGCATTTTCTCTTTCCAGATCAAAAAATTTCTGTAAGAAAAAAAAAAAAGCAGGTGAATAAAGCATGTTTCTGGTCTTGTTCAAGAGTACAAAAGAGTGTATTATCCAAATATCAACAATAGACCTCCTACTGGGTTATTAAAAACCATAATCTTGTTGCTTTGTATAAAGGAAGCTACTTTTTTGTTCTTAAATGTATATAGGAACAAAAGAGAAAATTAGCATGCTCAACTAAGTCTCTAATCAACAGTTTTAAGCTACAAAATGGACAAAAAATTCAGTCTTTCAACAAGATGAGAGTCAGAAGCTTGTTTAATTCTCATTGTCCTATTCATTAGGGTGCACTGGCATTTACTGCGTGCCTCAGGGTGCTTTCTGCCAAGCATGCCAATGAACTGAACGGATATTTTTACATGTTGCATAGTTTATATCAATGAATAGCTAAATAAATTGGGGATTTGCAAAGATCGAAAGAGATTTTGCCACCAGAACAAATCTTTTCTATCTAAACACTTAAGGCTACAAGCTCTTTTAATAGAACACTCAGCAAAAACCACAACTTCTATTAATCCTAACTTCAACTTTTATAACCTCCAAAGTAGCATTTCAGTTCACCCAAGGCTAGGGATGGGGGATTCAAGAGTTGGATTGCTGAGAGCAAGAGCGGTCAGGCTGGGCTTCTAAACCTGCTAAGTGCTTAGATGAAGCTTCCAAAGTGAAGCTCATGGGTCTCCAATTACTGATTTCATGGGAAGCAACCAGTCAGTGGTGGAGGTCTCAGGTCTCCTCCATGTTGGAAAATGTTGAGCATTTTCAGAACTGCCTGGCATCTTTCCAGAATGAGTTGTGGCATCATATGTGTTCAAAGGAACAAAAAGAAGATATAATTTATATTTTTAAAAGTACAAAGTGTTCCAATTTGATTTCAGGAAGTACTGAGAGTTGGTCTTTACCTTCTTTCCAGGTTAGAGGAGGGTCAATAAACTAGATGATCAGTAAGGAAACTGCTTGTCCCTAAATTCTGAATTTTAGTAAAACTTTTGAGATCCATGGTGCACAGACCAAAATCTACTACTGAAGACCTATCTATTCCTCAGCCAGAGGACCATTCTTTGAAGGCCACATTACCATGCTTACGGGGGAATGCTAGCTGATCCACCTTTATATCCTTACTTCCTGCCTTCTGAAAAACTGCATTGGTTTGTGGGCTCTTTAAATTGACTTACCCAGTAAATGCTTTTAAAATAGAGTTAAAACTTCATGAGGTTACAGGGCTAGTGAGGGTGTCATCACTCAAAAACAGCAGTCACATCATTTGGACATTCTCTTGTAACACATGTCCACATATTTGACTGTTTCCTTTACAAAAAGGTACTCCCTTATAGGGATGGGTATTTAGCTTAGCTGTTAGGATTCTGTTTAGAATGTCCACATCCTATGCTGGAATGCCTGGTTCAAATCCTGGGTTTGAGTCTTGGCTGGTCTACTCCTGATTCCAGTTTCCAACTAACCCATATTTGGGAAGCAGCAGGTGATGGTTCCCAATTTTGGCCTGGCTCAGTGCCTGCCATTATGGGCATTTGAGGAGTGAATGAGCAGGTAGGAGCTCTCTGTCTGCCTCTCAAATAAATAAATAGTAAATTTTTGAAAGATGATTATAGAACTAATGTGGACTGGAAAAATAATAAAGCATACACCCTATATTAAGTCAAGGATGAAGTCACAGCCTGAGGCTGTTATGAGAATTCATTTGTTGAAGGAAGTCAAAAATGGTCCCAAAGAGGAAAAGCTGTTTTATCTGCGAGGTTAAAATGATAGCAAAAATTAGATCTTATTTATTGAGATTTTAGATATATGTTATGGATGACAACAAACACATTTCAAATGTGATTTGCTAATTTATGAAAAAATTAAAACTTGGTCAACTGGGATAATCTTGTGAGTTGCAGCCTCATTCTAGGGCCCCCTAATGGATGCAAACCCACATCAATGCCAGGGAAAGTGTGTCCACTCCTCTAAGGACCAAGCTTCCCTGGTTCCCAAGCCATCTGCTTGTTCAGAGCCCAAGGCTCCTGAAGACTGGCCATATGCAATATTCCAAGACCCACTTATCTTGGAAGAGCTCAACACCTATCTGTGTTCTAGATATTGGGACCGTAGCTTTCTTTTCCACCTTGCCTCTCCTAAAAAGACATGGCCTGTGTTTTACAAAATGGGTAGCAGTGAGCTAACAATGCTTGATTTATTCAAAGAACATGACTCAAAGAGCTGAAGTTGATGAAGTACTATAGAGCTTAAAACAATGTGTTCTGCTTTCCTTGCACTCTCTTGCAAATCTCCAATGAAGCCCTTTACATTTCATACTCTGGAGAGTTGTCAACTGTAGGGGCCTTAGTAGCAGGAGTACTGTGGTGTCAGGAAGCAGCGGGGGGGGGGGGGGGCAGTAGTAGGAACCCATTGACAGGATCTAAGGGAAACTGAGAAAGGAGATGGAGCAAGTACACCAGATTCAGTGCCCAAGGCCCAGACACTCTCCTCTTTACTGTCTCTAGACCTTGCAAGTCTGTTAGCAGTGCTCCTCTGACCTTACACATACTGACTTCTGGAGTGCATGACTTCACTGGGCTACACACTGGCAGAAAATGGCTAACTAGGCCTGGGACTCAGGCCTTGGTCTGGTATTTGCTCCCTGCTTCACTGGCTCATAGAATCTTTCTTCCCACTCTGCCTTTGGTTAGCTCCCTTTAACTTCATTTATTCATGCATTCACTCATTCAATTTGTTTCACACATTTCATGACAAACATCATGCTAGGCAGTGAGAATATGATAGTGAACTAGACACCTGGTTCCTTGTCTCATTTGAGTTTCCATGGAGCCTAGTAAACACTGTAATTATCTGAAAAACATGTTGTCCTTGAGCTGAAATAATCCTAGGCATTCTCTTGTCCACAGAAAGATACTGAAAACCCAGGATCAGTTCTCCTGTATCTCTGCCTGGCTTTCTGAGGCTGTACCAACTTCTCCTTTGATCCCCCAAATCTGCTGCAAATCAAAGCTGGGGCCTGGATCCAATAAATAAGCTAAGGGAAGGATTGGTTGATTTTTCAAGCAGAAATAAGAGACTAGATAGATCAGATGTTCACTATTCCAAAGAGCTGGGAAACTTGATTGTGCCTGGACAACTTTGAAAAATTCTTTTTGTAACCAAGGCTGATTAAGACTCAGTCCTGTAGCAAATCACAAATAATTGGAGTCATTATGCTTGGTATAATCTTCCCATTCAGGTCTGAGGGTACCACTGAGGTACCATGGGGGAGAGAGGAAGAGAGGGAGGGAGAATATGAATGAATATGGGTGAGAAAAGTTTGGGAATGAGAAAGTATCTTCAAATAGTTTGTGGACAATGTGTTGTGAAAAAAACTGTGCATGATACCCCCCCCCCCACTAAGATAAACTTTTAATTCCATTTTTCTATGAATGTTTTGAAGTACTCCATGTGTACATCAGAAACACTTGGACATGGCTATTACAACATGGAAATAGCTATAGGCAAGTAGATCAGAAGCCTACTAAGTTTCTCAGACAATTTTGTTGCAAAGATACTGTGAACTAGGATCAACTCCTTTAACTGTTCATGGCTTACCACTAGGGGACCCCCAATCTTTCCTTCTTTGAATGGCAGTGTTTTTTTGTTTTGTTTTGTTTTTGTTTTTGACAGAGTGGACAGTGAGAGAGAGAGACAGAGAGGAAGGTCTTCCTTTGCTGTTGGTTCACCCTCCAATGGCCGCCGCAGCCAGCGCACTGCGCTGATCCGATGGCAGGAGCCAGGTGCTTCTCCTGGTCTCCCAAGGGGTGCAGGACCCAAGCACTTGGGCCATCCTCCACTGCACTCCCGGGCCACAGCAGAGAGCTGGCCTGGAAGAGGGGCAACCGGGACAGAATCTGGCGCCCTGACCGGGACTAGAACCCGGTGTGCCAGCGCCGCAAGGCGGAGGATTAGCCTAGTGAGCCGCGGTGCCGGCCTGAATGGCAGTTTTAATTGTGTTCCCTGTTGTTTGAAAATGAGGTCCCCTTAACCAAGGTAGTGATATTTTGTGGGCATTGAGAGTTCCCTGCGTGGAAAGAACATAGAAATGCCACAAGAAGCAGAGCCCCATCACCTAGAGGGCTTACACATTTCTCAGGGCTCATTTCTTGAATGATAGCACAGAGAATTAGGAAAGACTGAGACTCAAAGGATTAATGGTTCTGAGTCCAGTGCAGAGGAGCAGAGGAAAGTCAAAGATGATCTACAGAGTTAACACATTTCCAGCAATACCAGGTCTCCTTTTCTGTATATGATTGTTGAAAAATTAAACTACCTTTTGAAGTATTTTTCATTCCCAAAGATTATTATCCTAGCTTGTACTAGAAGTTTACATGTCTGTGTATGCTTACAGTTTTCGTAGACATGCAAGGAGTATGAACTCTTTTATTCAATAGTACTTACAACATAATACTTACAACTTTCAAACTGCAGTTGGCTATTTCAGTGCAAATAGCTTTAAGAGAGGAAATAAAGTTAAATGTGAGGGGATCAGTTTTCTTCCAGAAGCTTATAAGGAGTCGAACTTTAACGCTTCGTAAAACTAATGCTTCTCTTATTTTTCCATCCAAGTCGGGCCAGTATGTCCTGAAGAAATAATATCCATGTAGATAAAAATAAAGAAAATATGTTATCTTTAGGAAAGAGATTCACAAGATGACAGATAACATTTTGTTACTCTGATCATTATTTTATTCTGTAATAGACAAGGGGATTTCAAAAGTTCATGCTACAAAAATTTTTTGGGTACAAAAATCTTGACATTTATGCAGTTTTTTTTACAATATGAATTTTCCATGAACTTTTAGAAGACCCCTTAAATAAGTAAACTTGCAAGGAAGGTTGAAAAACCATGTGTCTCTTGAGTTAGACATCAGAGATAATGCTTTACTGGCACTTGCCACAGCCTAAAATGAGATCTTCCATCACTAGAGTCTTGCATTGTGTGGGCTCGGTCTGTGTGGACAGACGGGCGACTACCATGAGTCACTCTCATCACATCTCCAACCTTACTCAGGAATCACTCCATATGAATCATCTTTCCAAAGGAACTCAGGACCCTTTCTCCTTCAGTCTCCAATGCCACTTAAGCCTCTCATCTTTAGTAACTGCCTCCCTCCCCAGCCCCTACAATGAACTTGGCTCTGGTTATCTGAGCTTTTTCAGACTGTTCTCGGTGTTGTCTGTCCTGATCATGCCTCACATGACTCCACTGTCTCCTGCCTTTCCCACTGGACACTTGGAGTCCTCCGCCAGGCACACAGCTTCTCCTGTGGGCTCAGCCTCCTCCCAGAATCCTTAGCACTCTGCAGTAATCATAGCCTAAGGCCACAATTCTTCTCAACTCCTGGCATATATCTTCCACCACAGTGTAGCCACTCGATTTACAATTGGGGGGACACCCTACACTTCCCTTCCCCTAACAAAACAATCCCATTTCTAGAACTGTCACTTAATTTCTCACTATAAAAGAAAACAAGAAACCCTTTCCTGTCATAAGGTCTATGCCTTAAGTGACTCAACCTGCCCTCAGTCTCATTTGTCCCATTTGTCCGCTTCCTGTTCCCTCATTGAAATCTTACCCCAATCCTGGGCCAATCCAATGCTTAGACTGATGATCTATTATTCTATTGACTATTCAAAACCTTACTCTGTCATAATCATTGCACTCCAAAGGTCTCCCCTTTGTATATGACCCTGGCTCCTACCCTCCATGTCCTCAATCTCTCAGTCACACTAAATCTGCTCTTTCATCTCTTGCAAGCTGCCAGCTCACCATCCCTCACCATGTGCCTGCTCCTTCTACTGATCACTTGAAGAATACTTGCCCCTCTACTTTCCTCTCACTTGTGGAAAAGCCTAAACCCTGGATCAGTGCTGTAATCCTCTTTGTCTATTTCTGTAAAGCTGAGGACTTCTGCGAAAAATCATCTCAAGCTTGTGCTCGAAATTGGTTTTTCTGCCTCCAGTCTTACAATGTCAAGTACATCCTCCAAGACCATGAAAGCACCCCATCTAAAAGCCAATATGGTCATCTTACTACCTTTGATTAAAAATGATGGAGGCTCTACAAAGTCGTAAGACCCCCTGGAGGTTAGGCCCCCAGGTCCTGTTCTGTGCCCCCTTTCCAATTTGATCTACCTTACCTTAGGCTCTATGATCAAGCTCGGAACCTGCCAGACTGCTTTTCTCCATTTTAACTTTGTTCATGCTGTTCTTTCTACATGGAGAGTCACCTTTCTCACCCTTTGCTAATTGATTCCTGAGTATTTTGAAGCATCATTCAGGTGGCATCTCCAATAAGCTTCTTCTAATCCTGAAACTGCCAGAGATGCCCTTTCACTGAGCATCTGTAACATCCTGCACATACACATATTTCCATTCATAGCGCTATGTTCTAATAACCTATTCTGTGTCTGTCCATTCCTGTTCGATGGAGCTCTTGAAACATATACTTTAATATGTAATGCACAGTGCTCAATAAATATCTGTTGATTGAATACATAAGTCAATAATACCAATACAGTAGTTCTTATCCTTAAGGGATATGTTCCAAAGTCCCTAATATATGTCTGAAGCCAATGACAGCACCTAACTCTATATTACTACATTTGTTCCTTTACATACATATCTGTGATAATGTCTTATAATGCCTAATTTATAAACCAAACTTTAATGACAAAGGCTAATAAGATAAAGTAATTATAAGAATATGTTGTATTAAAGTTATTAAAGCATGAATTATTTGTTCCTGGAATTTTCCACTTCAGATTTTTGGAGCACAGTTGATGAATGGTCATTGCAACTGCAGAAGGGAAATTTGTAAGTGGTGATGGCAGGGGACCACTACGACTCAAAGACTAATCAGGCTGTAGTTTTATTAATTCTTCAGATATTTCTGGGTTTCCTTCTGAAATATATGTTTCATGTGACTGAAGAAATAAATAATGAACAACCCCAAACTGAGACCTAAATAATTAAGTGAATGGCTCAAAGAAAGAGAGCTTGATTGCTACTTCAGAAAAAAGTGAAATAGGGCTGATTTTTTTTTTAATGCAGGATTTGTTTAGTTATACACCATTGTTCCATTCATGTCCTACTACCTTGGAAAGCAGAAGTTAATTCTAAAACTCTTGCTGTACGCATAATAGTGTATTTTTACATGCTGTCAATCATTTCTAATTTTGGAGTGTGTGGACTTTTTCATTTGGCTATCTACAGTGTGTAGACTAAAAGTTAAATCTGTAAGATATTAATTAATTCCAGTAACACAATGAAATTTGGTAGTAGTTACATGTCTATTAAAGTTGAACTCACTCCTGAAAAGCTTTTCCAGGACTATTAGATAAGTCATCAGTTTGGTTTAAAAAATGTTCCATTCATAGAATTGAGAATTTAATTGTAACCTGGATGTTTGAACCATTAATATGTTCTGTTGATGACTTTTCATTTAGAAAACTAAATAAATTTACAGGTTTGAAATTTAAAGAATACAATAAAAGAGAGTCTCTTTGAGTGCATCTTAATGATAGACTAATAACCAAAATACAAAAAATAAAAATCCCCAGGTTGAGTTGTCACCAGTATTTAACATTATTTCATTTATCTTTTTTTTTCTTTTTTGACAGGCAGAGTGGACAGTGAGAGAGAGAGAGGACAGAGAGAAAGGTCTTCCTTTGCCATTGGTTCACCCTCCAATGGCCGCCGCGGCCGACGAACCGCGCTGATCCGAAGGCAGGAGCCAGGTGCTTCTCCTGGTCTCCCATGGGGTGCAGGGCCCAAGCACTTGGGCCATCCTCCATGCACTCCCGGGCCACAGCAGAGAGCTGGCCTGGAAGAGGAGCAACCAGGACAGAATCCGGCGCCCCGACCGGGACTAGAACCCCGTGTGCCGGCGCTGCAGGCGGAGGGTTAGCCTATTGAGCCACGGCACCAGCCTCATTTATCTTTAAATTTTAATTTCTAAGATATTTTAGATTCTTCATGATAACCCTTTTTTCCTTGACCATAAAAAATATCAACTTTGTTCATGGAACTCCACGGAATAAGAGTTTTGCCAATCCTGAGGAATCATTGTCCCAGCCTTTATTCTTTTGAATATGAGAAAGACTCAGCAAAACCTCTTTTGTTTCAAAAGCTTCCTAACCTGAAGCTGAAGCCCAACACTAAACCTAATACCAAGCAAACAGCAAAATGAGAAAAATAAAAAAGGAGGGATAGAAAAACCAGAAGTGCTCAAAGGATGCACAATATTTAGAGTGGAAAGCATGTTAACAGTGTGTATCTTGCAGCTTAAAAATGCTTTTCTACTGACTGTCATCAGAGGCAATCACTTTCTGGGAAAAACACTTTCTTTGCAATCCTACAGTCATTTGCATATAGAACTTGCATGTTATGCATATTTGGGGTTAGCAATATGGAAAATATTCAAGTAATATAGGGCACATTTAATTTTAAGCTCAGGAAATGGATCATTTTAAAATTGTGATTTTTTTCCCAATTACAAAGTTCTCAAGTTTCACTCCCAGAAATATGCACTTTGAAAACTTTTCCTAGAATAAACTAATTATGCAAAACTTTGACAAGCACCCAATTCTTTGCATTCCCAGCAAGAAAGCAAAAGTGGGAATGCCTGGGCATGGCGATGATTTATGCATGTGATAATTTTGCAAGGAGTTTGTCATAGACTTTGCCTCTAAATTTATTCCATGTTGTCTGTATGCTTGAACAGTGATAAATTATTGGAAAAACATTTTTGGGATGATATCTTCATCACACAGAGGAATAGCTTGCCTGAGAACATATATTTTAAGTTACCTTCTCCTTGACATTGAGAAGACATTATGAGAATTTTGCATTTCATGAAGACTTTCAGGAATACAAGGAAGTGAGACCTGCTTCAGGGAAACTCCTTCAAAATGTCCTATTATAATATGCTCTTCAGGTCTACCTGTGTTAATAATTTTCAAATAATATTTAAAATAATTTTCAAATTTAGAGCCACCTTATTTTAAAAGTTACTCTCATGCTTTTGACTAAACTACTTAGATATTTTTCTGTAGGCTGAGACTGAAAGCAGACTTGCACAAGGGGAGACACATCAGGGGTAAGCTGCGAATGCACCCTAGGCAGATTTGAATGGTGTACTCAGTGTAGCCTGATTGCATCTTGATGTCTAGGCTGCTTTCATCTGCAGTCCTCAGTGTAGTGCCCAGCCCTGGAGAGGATGGGTGCTCACTGACCTCTTGGTGCTTGTACTGGAGATCGGCAGGTAGTCCATGACAGCAATGTACACGTATTGCTTGGCATCGTCTATCACACTGTAGATGGCATCTATGTCAAAGCTTCTGTTTTTAGGGCAAAAGAGTTTGGGAGAATTCTGTGAAGACACAAAAACCAAACTTTTAGAGTGTTAATTTTTTGCAGCTAGGATTTTCTTTGTTTCCTTAATGAGTTTTTGGCTTTTAACTAAATATTTTCAAATCTACCTTCCGATTCTCCATTGGAGTAGTCAAAGATATTTTCAGTCTTATCAAAGTTGAGGCATATAGAGATCAAGGTATGGTGGGATGGGCTTGAGTCTGTTTCTCTCTCTGGGTTTTTTTTTTTTAGAGATTCATTTATTTATTGGAAAGGTAGGTGAGAGATCTTCCATCTGCTGGGTCATCTCCACCAATGCCTGCAACACCCAAGGCTGAGCCAGGTTGAAGCCAGGAGCCAGGAACTTCATCTGGGTTTTCCTAGTGGGTGGCAGGAACCCAAGTATTTGGGTCATCATCCACTGCCTCCCAAGAGCATCAGAAGGAAGCTGGGTTAGGAGTACAGAGTAGCTGGGACCTGAACTGGGCATTCAAACATGGAATGCAAGTGGACTAAGCTGCCCCTCAAATTTTTTTTATAGAAAGACCACTGCTCCAGAGGAATATACACAAGGGCTATAATCAAGTCTCAAGATGGCAATTTCACTCACATATATTGCATTTTTTGTACTCTCTAAATTAGCTACAAATCAAACATATTTGTGTTGGATCCAGTTTATTTTGCCAAGCATAATGGTCTCCAGTTGCATCTACTTTGTAGCAAAAAAGACAGGATTTCATTACTTGTATGGATGAATAATATTTCATGATGTACCTACAACACATTTTTCTTTATTCTTCAGTTGATGGACATCTGAGTTGATTCCATATCATAGCTTTTATGAACTGAGCTGTGATAAATGTGGGGGTGCAGATTCCTCCTTTATGTGCTGATTTCATTTCCTTTGGATAAATTCCTAGGATTGGGATGGCTGGGTCATTTGGTATATAAATATTAAGATTTTTGAGGAAATCTCCATACTGTTGTCTTTCTTTTATACAGGCATTTTCCAAAGAATGATACAAAGGCCAATGGACACATGAAAAAATGCTCAGGATCACTAACCAGCTGGGAAATGCAAATAAAAACACAATGTGGTTTCACCTCACCCAATTAGAATGGCTATCATCCAAAAATTAAAAAAAAAAAATAACCAAATGTTGGCCAGAATGTGGAGAAAAGGATGCACGAATACTTTGCTGGTGGGAATTTTGTTCTTCAAGTCTGTTTTAGGAGAGAAATCTTGGTTTCAATGCATACTTGTGATTCACTGAGGAGAACTTTAGTCTCAACATTCAATTCTGGTACACAAGTATACCCTGTGAGACATACCTGTTAATTTTCTCAGGTGTTAACATCTATACACTCATCTGCACACACCAAAGCCCAGAAGTCATTTCATTTGAAATGTGATATTGCCAAGAATGTCCTAGATGTAGAACTGTTATGGGCCAAAGAAATCAAACAGCAGTCAAAGCTTTGTGGGGAAGGGCACACAGTTTATTTATGCATGCCAGTTTGACTAGACTCCTGTCTCAGGAGTCAAGCCTCATCCTCTGACTTTCTCTACTTTCATACCCTAAATTTAGCAAGGCAGTACGAAGGCAGTTTCAGGGAGCACATTGTTATCTTAGGCTCTCGAGTCTAACAAATCACAACTGCAAGGTAAGATAGTTTGAGGATACAGGAACCAGGAAGAGTCAATGAAAACTTAAAGACAATTTGGGAGGCACACAACTATCTTATCTTATGTATCTGACTAGGCCTTTATGGCAGGTGGGGAACCAGTTTTTAAAGTCAGACCTGGTTGGCTTAGATCCATCTGGCCCTTTGATAACAAGTGGGAGGGAATGTGTAACATTCCCTCAAACTGGCTCCTTAATGGCAAGCAGGAAGGGGGCTGTAACAGAAGCTACAAAGTTTAGATTTCTTCCCTGAAATCTTTCACTGAGTCAAGAACATTTGAGAAAGAGTCATCAATAATCTACAGCAAAAACTGAGTTAAGATGCCCAAATTCATCAGCAGAGCCAGAGAAGAAGGATGTTCTGAAAGATGTAAGCCATGGCCGGCACCATGGCTCAATAGGCTAATCCTCTGCCTGTGGTGCCAGCACACTGGGTTCTAGTCCCAGTCGGGGTGCTGGATTCTGTGCTGGTTGCCCCTCTTCCAGGCCAGCTCTCTGCTGTGGCCCGGGAGTGCAGTGGAGGATGGCCCAAGTGCTTGGGCCCTGCACCCGCATAGGAGACCAGGAGAAGCACCTGGCTCCTGGTTTCGGATCGGCGCAGCACAGCGGCCATTGGGGGGTGAACCAATGGAAAAGGAAGACCTTTCTCTCTCTCTCTCTCTCTCTCTCTCTCTCTCTCTCACTGTCCACTCTGCCTGTCAAAAAAAAAAAAATACATAAAAAAAGACGTAAGCCAAATGAAAGAGAAAAGAAGAAAATTATTCTTATGGTATTTTCATCATGTTGCTTGAGGTTTCCATCTTATAAAATACAGTATTTTTAGAAGTAGTTGTCATAGAAAGGAAAAGATGTAGTTCCAGTCCTAATTTGATAAAGCATACACTACATCAAGTGGAAGAGCATAAATAATGCTAGGGTGCTTAATATCACAAGGCTGAATAAGCAGGTTCTGGAACTGCCAGAAGTGAATGACATATGGGATAGGCAGAGCCATGTTCTGGAACAACTGCCCACACTGCACTGGTGGGAATTCCCATCCCAGCTTAGAGGTGAAGCTCCTGGCATGAATGCCCCCCCTAGTAAGAGCATTTTAGAGGATGCATACCCTCAGATGTCTTTATCCAGAAAGTTCTCTTGGAAAGTCATAAGCAACATACACTTCTGATCATTTAAATTATTTTTCTTTCAGAATGAGAACAAGTTTCTAAGTCTTAAAAAAAATCAAGGATAGTCCTACACTCTGTCCCCAGAACTCCACTTGTCACCGAGAGAGACAGCATGTGCTTGTTTGGCGTTTTCTTTGTTCTACCATCTTACTCCTTTCTATGACTTGGATATTAATTTGGATGTTAAATATCCCCCAAAGGCGGGAAGCCATTGTAACCCATGAGTCGTACTTTGGAAATTTATATTCATTAAATAAAAGATAAAAAAAAAAAAATATCCCCCAAAGGCCCATGCGTTACTGACTTGGTCCTCAGCATCTTATGTTAGTGGTACTAGTAGGGTGGAAACTTGATTCAACTATGGTGTTCAGAGGTGGGGCCTCTGGAAGGTGATTGGATTAGATTGGGTTGTTAGGATAGAGTCCACAGGATTACAGCCTGGTGTATTTATAAGAGACTGCATAGACCTAGACAGGTATATTCCCTTTCTTTTGTCCAGGATGCTCTGCACCACCTCAGGACTCTCCAAGCAAGAATACCATACTAGAGGTAAAGCAACAGGGCCAGCCTAGTCTTGAACTGTGAACCTTCATGACTGAGCTAAATGACCCTTTTCTCTTTAATGAAGTATCTGAGGCAACCAGCTTTATAAAGTATAGTGATACTGATTAATATATTCCTGAATACTGTTTGCTTCATGCTGTATGCAGGCGCTTTATAATACCTTCCTAACTAATCCTAACTAATGCTTTCTCTCCACAGTATTTAACAAACACATGTCACTTTGATGAAATGACTCCTGGTCTCCTGAAATCCAGAGGGAAATATCCATGGCCTTGTAGCTTTTCTTCCCTTGTGAGCTGGCTAGCATACCACTTGCACCCTAAAACAGAAGCAATCACCATTCCATGGCTGTGCCCTTATTTTGTCTGCCACTGAACACATCTTCATGCTTGGCTCCCGGTTGATGTATTTCCCTATCTTTGACTGTCCAAGTCCTGTTCATTCTGTTCTCTAAGTTCCAGCTCCAGCCTTATCTCTACCATGAACCCTTTTATAACTAACCAGCTCCCACCTCTGTGTTTCCACACTGTTTCTTTTTCACCATGTTAATCATCTGTGGGTACACATGTCAATGGCACTGAGTACCTGCACACTGTTATGCAACCATTACCACCATCCGTCTCTGGGATTTATTTATGATTTTGAAGAACATATTCAACCACAATTATTTGCACTAGCCTCACAATCTCAGCTAGATTTTTAGTTTGTTGGGGGTTGAGTTTTATTCATTTTCCTGTATCTATTAAAAAACAAAATATTCAAATGATCTAACTTCCTGTACCTGTTAAGTTTGCTTCAAACAAGCTGCATGTTAATATAGAGAAGCTGAGGATCTGAGTTCTGTGCACAGCTCCTTATGCCAACTCTGAAATGTATCCCAACACCTACATAATTTTTTTTCAGTTAATTTCATCACATATTCCAAAACTGGATTTTGACATTGGGGAGGAATAAATTTAGGCAAAAGATGAGGCAGGTGTTGCAGTACAGTGGGTTAGGCCAATGCCTGCATATCAGAATGCCAGCTGTAGTCCTGACTACTCCACTTCAGATTCAGTTTTCTGCTAGTGCATGCTGGGAAGCAGCAGATGATGGCTCAATTGCTTGGACCCCTGCAACCCATGTAGAACACCCAGATGGAGTCTCTAGCTTCAGCCTGGCCAGCTCCTAACTATGTCAGGCATTTGGGGAGTGAACCAGTGGATAGAAGGTTGATCTCTCCCTGTTCTCCAACCCTCACTCTCCCTCTGGCTCTGCCTTTCAAGTATATGGGGAAAAAAATCAAATTTAGGCAAAAAGTTGATGGTGGCCTCTTTATATCAGCTATTCTATTCTGCTTGGCTACTGAGGCTATAATCTAGAAGTAAGAGCTTGGACTTTACAATTGGAGACATCGTAGCATGTCCCTTTCACTTTTTAAAGACTGTTTCCTAGTGAGGTTAATAACAGCACACTTTTCGCACTGCTTTGCCATGAGGCTCAAATGAAAGCATGGCCTGTTCTATAGCTGAGTACTGTGCCCTCTTTATTTGCTTTCGCCCAGTCAGCAAATATTCCATGTGCCTGTCGTATTCCAGGTTGTGTTTCAGGCATGTGCTGTATAT